GAGTATTCTATGCAAGGCACTCCTGGGCAAGCTAATCCTGTTCAAGCTGATCCTGAGGAAGATTATTCTGTCCAAGCTGATCCTGAAGAATCGTATTCTGTTCAAGCTGATCCTGAGGAAGTTTATTCTGTTCAAGCTGATCCTGAGGAAACTTGATCCCTTTCAGGCTGATCCGTTTCCAATTGAGTCTGCCCAAATTGAACCAGTTTAAATGCATGTTTAGGTTGTTCTAAATGCAGGTATAATCAAGGGATTCTTTGCATATTATTTACAGAATTTTTGGTCTTTTATTTGTATTATAAAGAGACAATAATTGTTTATCTCTTTATTAATAATTATTGTGTTTCAAATGAAACAGACCTCCCATTGTACCAAATGGAAACAGATGCAGATGTTATTGTACAATCAGCCCAAGTGTCTTTGCTTGAAGAACAATTCCATGGGTTAGACCTGGTTATCCATCGCACCACCTTATTAAAAGATATGATAACAGCATTTTCAGATACAACCATATTAAAAATTACAATATTTTTAAAGTTGTTGATGCACGTGGTGTTATAGAGGAAGGTGAAGGAAAGGGTGTGGCACGTGAAGCTCTCACTGAATTTTGGCACCTCTTTTATCAATCATTATCCGTTGGAGCATCCGCCAAGGTCTCTAGCATCCGTCATGATTACCAAAGGCAAGAATGGAAAGCTGTGGCCAGAATTTTATTGTACGGCTACTGCAAAGAAGGAGTGTATCCTATTGCGCTGTCTGCAGCATTTGTTGGGTGCACTGTTCTAGGTGGAGTTCGTGTCTCCAGCGAAGTGCCAGTGAAATCTTTCATGGCTTACATAGCGGAAGATGAGAGAGAAGTAGTTGATAACTACTTAAAAAATGGATCACAAATTGATAAAAACGAAGATCTGTTGGAGGTTTTGGGGAGCTACAAATGCTATCGCATACGTAAGGAGGAAAACATCGACGACATATCATGCAATTAGCCCCCCAAGAGCTTATCCAACGACCCCGGTATATTTCCAATTGTTGGGCAACGATATTGCAATCATTGAAGAGTCGCCTTCAATTTCAAGCATTCTTTACTTCTACGAAGAATTAAAACACACTGCGAAAAAGGTTTTAATTTGAAAATCCTAGATGCTTCTCCGGAAAATGAGGCGCAGCGAAATGCTTTTGATCACTTGGTACGTTATATCAAGTCTTTAGGAGGCAATGTAAGCGCGTTTCTTCAGTTTACTACGGGTGCCGATATCATCGTTGAAGGTCAGAAATTGAAAGTGACATTTACTGAGCTCAATGGACTACAACGATGACCTGTAGCACACACGTGCGGACCCTTGCTCGAGCTTCCTTGTACATACCAATACTACAATGAGCTGGTCGACGAGTTCTCATCCAGCCTCAGAGAGAAGAGTGCATGGTAATTTGACACTGTTTAAACCTTTTTTTCGAATATTTATACAGACCATTAGGATTGGTATTTAACATTGTTTATGGTATCATATAACATGACGAAAACAATTTAACTACTTTAGAGATATTTATATTTTAAAAAGATACATATATGTTATCCTAGTTGTAAATACACTACATGTTGAGCTTGTTTGTATCAGTGCTTAAGCTGCTTCCGGTAGTCTTTCATATGCCGCTAAAGCATCCATCAAGGTTTGCATCTGTCCTATTCCTAACACACCAGCACTATACGAAAAGTACTCTTGGTATGTCGAATAATTTTCAGTTGATACATTAACGGAATCCTCAATCTCGATGCGATCGCGGCCATCATACTCTTTCTTGAAATCATCTGCTCCAACTGTTTCTGGTAGAAGATAAAGCTGATTATGGATTCCCGCTTGAGTATAATACCGGGATTTGCGTACATAGTGACAGTTCCACGAGTCCTTAATTTCTTCGAGTCCCTTTTTTAGGACTGGACGAAAGCAGAACCAAAGACACTCAAGATGAAGTGTATTGGTTGTGTCCAACACTCCTCTGGCTATCAAGTCTTTAAATAAATTTATCCACCCTGAGGACCATGATCGACGGAGCATAGCCCACCTTGCCTCGATTCGCTGATTGCTGTTCGATGACCCATATCGATGTGCATGGACATTGCAATGGGTACCCGTGTGGTTTTTGCGCAAAAAGCACTGAGCCGACGTCATAATTCAATTTTCTGTTCCCAAGTCTTTTCTTAGAATTGTTGGACATAATTGCAAATTAGTTACGCAGTTATAAAACAGCCTACCTACCACTTGAGGATCGTTATTTGACCGTACAATGTTAAGCCACATTATCTTCCTGCTAGGCCCGTCTATACAGCCATGGATTGGAAAACCATATGGCTTAATTTATCGTTCCCGTCAGCATGCCAACAATAATGTGGCCCGGGATTTAGGTAGCTTCTTCTATGAAGGCGATTAGCCCGCCTTAATCTCGATCCTTCTGGGTCCACTTCTCGAAGTATGATTTGAACTACGGAACGAGGAATTTGCAAGCCATGTTTTGCTTGCAAGCTTCTCCACATGGCTCTATAGCCGAACATTTTACCTCTTCCATTTAGCTCTTCAAAATACATCTTCTCACGTCGTATTTCCTCGTCGTCGCAGGCCATACTCCTTAAAAAAATCTAAGATGGCGTCGCGAGTAGGCACGCTGTTCTGGTCTCAGCTAATTTTAATTGTAGTATACATATAAGAAGCAGTTTGTTCAACCTGATGGTCAGTTGTACTAAATTCCTGGGTACTATTTCCTAAAGCGTAATCGGCAATGTGGAAAAGGGGGAGGCCTAGCTATGTTTATTAAAAACGAGATCAAATGGGAAAGGCGTCATGACTTGGAAAATGACGATGTGGAAAGTATTTGGATAGAATTTTCAGTTAAAAATGCAAAAAGCTTTCTCCTGGTGGTATATTAACGGCCCCCTATGGGATCTAATTACTTACCAGCGAATTTTAATAATATCCTTGAAAACTCGCTTCAAGAAAGTGCACGAGAATCGAACGAAATAATTATCATCGGCGATTTTAATGCGAATTACTTAAATCAAAACGATCATAAGGAATTAAAAGCAATATTTCGACTGTATGGTTTTAAGGCGGATTTCCACTCCTCGCACGAAGCAACTCGCATCTAATTGAAATTGACTGTTTAGCATTGCGATTGGATGAAATTGCTCATTCATGCACTCGTAGCTAGCTGCGAGGAGCTTCGTGCCAGGACTGGAAATCCGCCTTAAGTCAAGTAATAAAACAGGCAACCCGTATCACAAAGCATTCGTCAACATTAATTAATCTGATTTTCACAAACAGTGAAGCGGTAATATCAATGAGAGGCGTTTTTTTCGTTTAGTCTAGGTGACCATGATATGGTCGGTTGCATACGCAAGCTACACAATGTCTCATTTTCTCCAAAGATCATTAACTGTAGAATCTATCCATCGTATAATCCGGAAGCTATGAAAGAGGATTTTAAATCTGTTAATTGGAGCTCTGTGTATAAGATTTGTGATGTAAACCAAGCGTTAAAGTGTTTTAATGGCATTGTGAAGAGCGTTTTTGATAGTCATGCACCTCATATCGTTAAGAAAATTAGGGGAAAACCCTGTCCTTGGATAAATTTAGATATACGGAAACTTATGACAACTAGGGATCGTATGCTACGAAAGTTTCGAAAAACTAAAAGGGAAGAGGATTGGAATCTATACAAGAAACTAAGAAATTCATGTAATAATAAAATGAAGCATGCAAAGGGGGAATATCAGAAAGATTTGTTAAACGAGAATGTAGCAAGCCCAGAAGGTTCTGGAAAACGATTAAGGATATTCTTCCCGACCAAAAATAAGCCAAAGAACCCAAGTGTATGTAATGATCAGAACCTCCGAGGTATTTTCAGTGAGTATTATGCCAAAGCCGCTCCATTCCTTAAAGAGCAGGCTTTTCCGCTGATTGATTCTGTATGGAGACGGCCAGATGTAATTGAGCATCGAACAGAACGAGTTTTTATGATGAAAAATATATCCAGAGTATTTGTCTTGAATGAATTGAAACAGCTCAAGCGAAATAAAGCAACTGGAGTCGATGAACTTCCACCTGAAATGTTGAAGGACGTCAGGGAATATATAGCTGAGCCTCTATGTTATATCTTAAACCTTCCGGTGAAAACCCTTACAGTGCCTCTGAAGTGGAAAATAGCAAGATTAATACCAATTCATAAATCTGGGTCCATAAATCAACCTAAAAACTTTCGTCCAATATCTGTTCTACCGGTGCTGTCCAAATTGCTAGAGAAGGCTGTACACTGGCAGTACAGGAATTTCTTGGAGGAATAAAATCTTTTATCAGATCGTGAATTCGATTTTAGAGCTGAGAGATCGATAAATCTTGCTGCTACCTTATTTGTCGATGATATTCGAAATGATGTTGACAAGGGAAGCCTTGTGGGGGCTGTTTTTATAGACCTTAGCAAAGCTTTCGATACGATTAGTCACCACATATTACCGACTAAACTGCAAGCGTATGGAGTTCAAGTTAAAGAACTGATGTGGTTCACGGATTACCTATTTTGCAGGCAACAATATGTTCAGTTAGGGGTTGATAAGTCATCAAATCAGCCATTACTTTGTGGAGTCCCTCAGGCTCCATATTGGGGCCTTTGTTATTCGCGGTCTTCTATAATGATTTGACAGACTTGAAAATAAAATCGCGAGTTTTACAATATGCTGATGGTACCGTTGTGTATTGTCCTGGTAAAAACGTAGAGAGTATTGAAGCTATGCTGTCACAGGACATGGATTTGATAGCCAACTATTTCGATGGGAATGAACTAATTATCAATTTAAACAAGGGGAAAACTGAGGTGATGCTTTTCGGCACTGCGAAAAGGTTGTCTTTGCAATCTCGGGATATTGATGTGAAGTATAAGGGGGAATCATTGAAGACAACTACGTCCCAAAAGTATCTGGGATATGCACTGGCACCTAGCTTGACACTTTGTAAAAACTTTGACGACGCTTATAAGCAGGCAAGCAATCGCCTACGGCTATTTCTAAACTGAGGTATTATGTAACCTCTGATGTAGCCAATAAGATATATCAAATGATGATTGTCCCTATTGTAACCTACAATGGGACAATAAAGCTATTGTACACAAGAACACAGCTAGAGAAATTAGGCAGCATTGAAAAGCGAGCTAAAGAAATTATTGGATCGGAAATAAACATACCATCGACGTATCTGCATAAGTTAATGAAAATGAAATCTTGTATGATTGTAAAAAAAATGTCTGGTAAACGACATATGTAGTAACTTCTGTGGATATTTTCAAGTTAATAACCATGATAAAGGCACACGAAATAGTGCTATCCTAGTAAAGCTGCCAAAGGTAAAACTTGAGTTCAATAGCCAAGTCTTTCGATTTGCGGGTGCTAAAGTATATAACGAGCTCCCAATTGAAGTAAGGAACGTTGGAGACGTTAAATCTTTTAACCGTGCGTTGGTCAAACATTTTAGTCAAACATATTAGTTAGTTTTAGATAGATCTGAAGTTTTTAATATAGAACTGGTGCTATGTAGGTTAAAATTGTATTATTCTAAGGATTAATACAAATAGTCCTTCCTTCTAAGGTACAAAGAAGACGCATGTTGATAACAGTAGTATTACTGAAATGCTTAACCTCTGTAAATATTCTTAAGTAAATAAATAAATAAGCTTGTTCTGTAAAGTGCTTCTCGATATTTCGATTGCATGGTATTTTTCTAACAACTGTAAAATGGTTTTATACGTGTAGTTTTTTGTTGCATGCCATATATGGCATGCAACTTTCATATAGCTCTAAATTTCGTGTCGCGGTCGGTTATCAAAATTTATGATAATTATAATTATTATACATAGTAGTTGGTAAAAGCAATTTGATTGGCTAAGAGCTTGCAGTTAAATCGCGCAATGACGCAACCTACAGAAAATTCAGTTATCTGCTAGCAGATAACTGAGTTATCTGCAAATGAGCCTGTGATGATTAGCAAACGATATCTATTTAACACAAACAAATGTACAATATAATAAAACAATTATTGAATTCGGTTTTTGCGATAGGCAAAATTATCAAGGTCTCGGTAAGCGTTATCAGCGATAACGCTTACCTCGACTTTTACGGTTACCTTTTACGGTTACCTTACGACTAACCTTTTACGGTTAAACGAGCTGAAATTGCAATATTGCATCACGATTACATGAGCAGTTTGGGCCCGGGCCGAGTTTAGTCAGAACTAATCCTATAATTATAGTCAACCCGGGCTAAAATCTCATCCGGGGCTGAAATAATCTGACTGTCACGAACAATAAGCCTATTACGCTTCTTTGAAGCATTCAGACGCTGATTAGTCGACTATTTGACTTGTGTGACGAGACTGTGCTTATATGTAAAGTATTTAAAGATGTAACAAACACGCAAAATAAAGCCATTTCAACTGTTGTTTTTTTAGCCCGGGCTGAAATTATTTGCGATTACATGGTTCCTGGCTGAAACTCAGCCCGGGCTGAAATTTCAGCTCAAACCGGGCTGAAATTTCAGCCCGGAACTGGAATTTTGGTCATGTAATCGCTTGCTCTGTTTTAATAGGATTTATCCTGAGGACTTTATCCAAATCCAAATCTTTATCCAAATATGGACCTATGGGGGGGGTGTCTTTATTCGCTAGCTGATTTGGACTCCCCTCGCGAATTTGGACCTCTCGCGTATTTTGCCATTGCAACGTATCGTATTTTGAATATTGTACTGAAAGCGTTTTCTTTTCAAATGTTTGATTTTTAGATTGGAGAATTCCGTCAAAGTTTATGATTTATAATTTTTTGGTACATGGGTTTATTTCTATGATCTTGGAATGTGCGAGAACTGAGAAGCGCATAAAGCCTTCACAAGTATTTTAGTCCTTGGAATTGCTATCTGCTCTGACTTTTAAGGATAGTTTCCACTCAGGAAAATTAGAACAACAAACAAGATGTTATCTTTCTTTGTGTTAAAGTCATTAGTTCCAACCCAAAGCTCACAAGACAAAGAAAAATTTTCTTGTCCGTTCCAAACCACGGATAATTTTCCTGAGTGGAAACTAGCCTTTAACTGCTCAAATAAAAACGGAAAATGAAAATATACCTGGGGGTTCCTATCCGCGGGGAGTCCAAATCCGCTGTGACACCGGGAAACCTGGATGAAACACAGCCAGGGCTCAAAACTCTCCATGTAATCAGCCCCTTTCAAAATCACATTGTCCACTATTATATTAAAACTTATGGAAATTAAGCGTTACACGTTTACGCTTATGTCATATTTGTTTCCTTCTACATTTCGTGCAAAAAAAGATCAATCGTATTCGCTTCTTTCTGCATGCATAAAGTCGATTTTCCACTTCGCGTTTTCGGCGCAAAAATGTTCTTTACATAGTTTTTTTGCTATTCGAGGAGTTAACGTGCCCCAACAGTCACTGAAAATCATTAACTTATGCTAGAAATTTCATCGATTTATGTAAACAAGAACCAAACACACTCACGAAAGACAAAATCGTTCGCAAAATTTTCGTCAACGGCGGGCGAAAACGTTAACACCGTAAGTGGAAACTCGGCTTTACTATATAGGCACACACTTCAAGCATCACGGTAACAACACGTTTTAACTATGTTCACGATCTTCGGTAGTACTCACATACATTTTATCTCATAAGAATATATATATATATATATATATATACGCACATGAGAGAAAAATAAAGGTCCGCCGCGTATTCTAAAAGCTCACTCACACTGAATGAGTGCAGGTTCAATACTGTATCTTATTTTGTCTCTAATATATTTTTGCTTTATCTTGAAAAATATAACCCTCCGTCTGTCCGGACTAGGGATGTCACTCCTCCTTCCCCCCCCCCCCATCCCAGTAAACCCAACCCTGCACATGTTAGGTGCAGGTAGCCTGGAGAATTTCCACAGATTTGCCATAAAA